TATCAATAATGTTTTAGTCTAGTGGAGGTACAAAAGCCTGAGATACAGTAAAGCTCTCAAAGTGCCCTTTTTATCCTGTGCATCCTTCAGGGTAAAGACTCCCTGCACAGTAATGGAAGGAGAGGCACGGCATAAGGAATTCCAAATGAGCTCCTGGATGGAGAGATTTGCTCTATAAATCCAGATCCTGCCACTCCCTTGTTCTGCCAGGACACCCAGAGCAAGGTGAGAAGGAATCTTTCAGCTTGGACATTTTCCAGTCAGTCTGAAGACATTGCAGAGCCAGATCTTTTTCCCTGCACATCCCAGGGCAGCCACATCTGGGGCTTTTTCTTCACCCACTCGACTGGGATTTAAGAAGCCCGAGTTGCCTTCCTAGAGCTGGATGCAAACAACAGACAGGATAAAACAGAGAGGCCAGCTTGTCCATGGAAAGAGTGCAGCCTGGCAGGGAGAAAACCTGGAGAGCCAATGCCCTGCCCTGCTGGGACAGGAAAACCCTTTGGCCAAGATGATAAAAGTAAATTAGAACCAAAAGGGCATTGCCTACTTCCTCCCTCAGCAGGACACCTTTCCACCACAGGCACAGAGTATTGGAAGATTATTTTGTCTTGCCACTGGAAGCCTCTACATCTTCAAGAGCCTGTGCACAGCCTGGCAAGCAGACCATGCAGACTCCTGACGTTACAGATTATTGGGTTTCCCACTGTTTGTTTTCCATCTCAGCCCTTCGTAATGCCATCAATTAAGGGCTAAATTTATAACTGGTGTGTTTTTTGTAAAAGAAATTTACTCAACACTTCTCACTTGTAATGTGATTATTTTTTCTTATGGTCTCCTAAAGTGTTTCATGAAATTAAAAATTGCAGCTAGCTCCAAGACAGGAAAGAAATACTGGAGCCTATTCTAAGCAGCATGGCATCAACCCCCAATTACCGTAAAAAACTATTTATTTAATATGTCAAGGCTAATTGTGGCAGCCTACCCAACACTTCCAAATAAATAATTAACAGCTGAATTTAGGAGCATGAGGTAATCAAGTTATCCACGGCATATGACATGTTAAAAAAATGTTTTGGTTTTATTTGAAAAGAGAGAAACCTTTGCATAAAGAGTATGCTATTTCTGAGTGTGAATGTATATGTATGAGACAGGAGAGGGGAAAGCTGGAGAAAGAGTCATTATTCACTTTTAGCCCTAATTCATAGAAATTCTGACAGAAAATTTATAGAGCAAGTAATCTGCTTTTCCTCTCCTCCTGGTAAACTAGAAGTTAGGAAACTAAGAGGAAAGTGGAAGAGTATGTCGCAGTCTCTGTTTCTACTCTGATATGCATTTAGGAATGTTTAAATCAGTCCCAGTGGGGTCCTATGTAGGAAATAGTTTATAGTTAACTCTGAATTTCTCACAGCATCTATTCTTTTTCTGTGAAGTAACACCCTAGCTTATCCTCACACTCATTGGTTTATGATTTTGGATCAACAGATAAAAATTACTTCTTTATGAGAAGTCACATTAATCAAAAACACAAATACAAAAGGCAGGGCAGGTTCATAAGACACTGCTGCTGTAGGTCGTCATTAAATGATGCTGTAAAAAGATGTACAAATCTGAGAGGGGCCAAAATACTGAACTTTGTAGTTTCACACACAAGTTCACAAGTCAAGCTTCCATTCTGTCATCTTTGTTAGAACTGGTGAACCTTTACCTTCCCCAAATACCAGCCACAAGTGTGGGGAAGACTCATTTTCTCTCTTCACTCTGGCAGAGAGCTGTGGTCAGGCTCTAGACATGTTTTTCAGTGTATTGCAGGGATTGTTCCAAGTTTCTACATAGGATTATTCCAGGTTTTGTACAGGTTCTCATAAAAGGGACCTGATATTTGTATCAGGATCATAAGAGACAAACACAGCACAGAACATGGATTATTATATGGAAATGTTCCCGTTCTTCTCACATGTACTGGAATCAAAAGTCTGTTTAAGTGCATCTGCTGGATAACATGAATCCTGGAGGTGTCCCAGGAAGCACCGAGTGACCCAAGTGAGGATATCCCCTCTTCAAGACTGCAAAAAACTGCTTCTCTCCAAGCCTTTTGTCCGATTTCCTTTTGGAATTCCTTGGGAAGAACATTCAGCACTACACTCTCAGTACTTTTAACAGATCAGTGCCAAGCCATTGCCCATTACTTCCTGTGTTCCCACTTTAATTAGATTTTTTTGTTCTTGTAATAGTAGAATACAGAACTGAATAAACTTGATTTTCCATCTAAGATTCTTTTTATGAATTACTTTGCGGGTTGGTTTATTTCAAACTATCACTCCACCACTGAAACCCTTTTATGCAATGCTGTTGCCTTAGGAGACCAAACACGTGGAACAGGCTACTCATTCAGGAGGTGACTTTGTGCCAGTGTGTGACACAACCAAGAAGGGACAAGATTTGCTTTTAATTTTTTTCTAACAATAAGTTCATAACTGATGCTCTCCACATGAGCCAGTATTTGAAGAGCTGATCTTTCCACGTTGAAGTGAACCCTTGATATTTTATATGTATAAGAATGTATTTTAACTATATATAATATAATAAATATCATATAAATATAATATTAAATATTATGCAAAATATAAGAAAATATAATATTATATAAATATAATAAAATATTTCAGCAACAGCAGATCAGGGATTTAAATTCATCAGAAATCATGGAGCCTTCCTAATGTGCCTCACTTAAAGAGAAGAATTCATAGAGTTTTTGTAAGTATTAGGTATAGTACTCCTTTACATTCCAGGTAGGTGTTGCCCCATCGTTGGAAGTGTTCCAGGCCAGGTTGGATGGGGCTTGGTGAAACCTTGTGTAGCAGAAGGTGTCCCTGCCCATGCCAGAGGGGTGGAATGAGATGATCCTTAAGGTCCCATCCAATCCAAACCATTTTATCTTTTATCAAATCGGTAACTTTTCCTTCTAATGCCACACTGCATTAAAAAATTGTGAAATACATAAACAGGCAATAAGCAGAAATAAATAATTTACTTTTGCATTTGCCATTGGTAATATTATACCTATAACCACAATGCTGTTCTGATGTCAAAACAGAATGCAGGACAGTAGGGAGGCAGAAGAGAAGGGGGGAAAAAAACCCAGAACGTTGGTCCATTTTCAGTAACAGACTTTAAAAGCCTAATCTGTTAGTCTATCAGAAAGACTGAAAAAATTACTTGATTAGTGAGTATCTCTATGGAGAGTGAATTAAGAGCAATAAAAGGACTCTATAGTGGGAACCCTGTTACTAAAACTAAGGGCTGGAAGCTGGAGCAGAAATTGAAATTAGGCAGGGAACAGGAGGATTGCTCCTATCCTGACCTCTTTTTATGAAAACCAGGGCCCTTCTACAACCAAACCTAAGCTTCTGAGCACAATGTATTAGCAAGGAGGGCCAGATAAGCTCCCAGAACAAGGAGGAGATCAGAGTGAATGGCACCTTCTCACTGAAGATGTTTATAAAGCCCATGGAGTCAAGGAGATCCATTTGCAGTGGTTAGTGGGAAAGAAGGGAACGGCAGCAATAATCTGGGACTTAGGATGGGATATAAGAAAGTTTCTTGTCAGAACTGCGGAAAGAATCTGCCAAAAAATGTATTCAGCAACTCTGAAGGACAAAGCTGGGAAGCCTGGGTGGGAGGATCAGGAATGAAGGATGTGAAGGGTGAATTCAAACTGCAGCTCCAGCAATTACTGAAGGGACACAAGCAGGGAATGACAAGAGCAGGACAGTTTCTCAAATCAGGGACTATGGGGAACGAGTCCCTCCCCTGAGACAGAGATTCAGTCCCTCATGGTTTTGCATATGTTCCTGCTCCTTAGTCACCTTCTGGAGGTGAGCAATGGGGGAGAGCAGGAGTCTGGGGTAACACATAAAGATGTCCATGGCAGCAGAGCAGACAGAGACAAAGCAATAAGCCTAAAACACAAATACAAATTATAGCTTTTCTAGATATCATAGATATAAAATAGATTATATCTGAGTTGTTTTTGGAGAAGCAGGGAGTGTCTGACATGGATCTAATTTTATTGGGTCAAAACAGCCATTAACAAAGAGTTCTCTACAGAAAAGGAGATAATTTCCAAAGATCTTCTTAAATACAATGCTTTATAAAGAGACATCAAGTCCATATTAACTTGTATTGAATGTAAAAGGGAGGAAAGATCCAGTCAGAGGTCTGCAAGCACTAGGAGTTTTTCCATCTTCTTTGAGTCAGAGCTTTTCATAAAACAGATTGACTGTTCACCCTCTCACATATTTACTCATTTGGCAGCCTGGTTTTCCCAGAAAGCTATCTCAATTCAACAATGCCTGTGGAGAAGAGACAAAACCTGGAAACGGGGAATAATGGATGGTTTGCTTGTATGGCAGTGTCAGAATGGAACGGCAAGGGCATCATCCAGATGTCCTCACAACAAATAGAAGAGCATAAAAATATTCATTACCAACTAAGAAAGAAGGCAGCATCAGAAAACAAATGGGAGCTAAAGGAAGCCAGGCTGAAGACAGAGGGGATGTGGAAGCAGGAATGGGAATATCTGAACTGGTGCTACAACACAAAGATGCCATCCCTCAGAAGTCAAAAGCAGCATGTTAATCTTTGTATAATGCAGGAGGCAGAAGCCAAAGCCAGTCTGCAACTCCTGTGAGCAGAACATGGGCCTGAAGGCATTTCTGCTGCTCCTGCCAAGTGGAACTTGAGGTGCAGCCTCTAATTCCATTTGTGTGTTGTGCCTCCTATATTGTTTTATGTCATTTAAATGACTACAGCCAGTGAGTCTCAGTTCAAGCTGGTCTGTGGACCAACAGATTTCACTAACAGCTGTTTCCTTCATTTTCCTTCTCCACATAAAATCACGTTGTGTGAAGTTACAGTTCCCTGTGCAACTCTGAAGAATTTCTGGGAGCAACTGAGCAGTGGCAGGGGTGAATAAGTTAACAAAGAAAACTTTCTCCAAATTTCTTCTTGGACAGTGAGCAGTACCCAAGAACACATATGGGAAGGACAGGACCATGAAGCTTCCTGAAGCTTTGTTGTGTGAACTGGAGATTGCCAGACCCTACGTCCCAGTCCACGTCACGGCCTAGTTCTGGAGTCCAGCTTGTCTGTGTGGATCTTATGGGAAGCTGTGTCAAAAACTGCTCTCCTAAAATCCAGGGCAGTGAAACTACCATTTTTCTCATCTCCTCAGGATCCTGAACTCCACCATCCCATGGTCACTGCAGCCAAGGCTTCCCTCGACTTTCACAGTTTTGACCAGTTCTTTGTTTAAAGGGTCAGGCCTAGGCAGACTGTGCCCACCCACCAGCTCCTCAATCACCTGTGTCTGGAAGCTGGCTCCAATGTACTCCAGGAACCTCTTGAATGACTTTTGTGCTGCTGTGATGTCCCTCCAGCAGTTTTTGGGATAGTTAAGGTCCCCTATTAGGACCAATGCCAGTCCAGGTGAGTCTTCTTCCAGCTCCTCAGGGACACCCAGCACAGAATCTACCCTCTGAACCCAACCCATCAGCTCCCAGCTGTCCCATCAGCTGTTCACTTTTTACATCCTTCTGTCTAAGCATTTTGCACTACTTGCAGGTTTGTTTTCTGTTTGGTATTAAAACCAGAGAGTGACAAAGTGCTCTGGCTTATCTTTCCTGTTACCAACACTCCAGTGCTTTCCAGCTGCACTTGCAGGGATCTTGCTTAATCTACTTCAGTTCCACATGGAGAATAAAACTAGAAAAGGCTGCATAAAAAATATTGAGAAAATATTTAGAAAGGAATCACAGGTGGAAATTTTTCTTGGCCATTGGGATTGAGGAGTGTCCTTGACCCCACTAAAGTTCCTTTCTTTCTTCCAGGACCATTCACCATGAAATCAGAACATTTTTATATTTGCATCTCTGTAGCCAAAAGCATGCTCTTGAACTCTTTATTTTCCATTGCTTTGAGAAATTCTGCAAATAAAGTGTTGTTAAGCCCAGACACCTAGAGAATTAGCCAAATGTGCACAATCTACCTCCTACGTAAATGAAGACTCTTGAAGTCAATGCAGTTAAGACAGTGTAAGGTAAGATAAACAGGAGTAAAGTCTACAGCATTATTTTAAAAAGGAGAAAATACAAAAAACAGAAGTAAACAGACCACAGTCTTTCTGCTGGAAAGCACAACCACCTACATGAGGAAAAGTGGAGTAGGTGTGTGTTGGCCATTATTGATGTAATTAGGAACTGGTTTTAAAAAATATGTTTTTACAGAGGAGAAGTGACATAGTAAAAATGTGTGTCAGCAAGTTATGCCATTTTAATTACATAACTGAAAATTATGCCTACATACATGACATTTTTTCTGTAGATAAATCTCACAGGACACAGAAGATGAATATTACAGAATTTAATGTTGCTCTTAAGCCTGTAATTTCAACATTTGACATCCTGAAAATTGCAAAAAGATCAGAGCTTTATTTGAAAGAAGACACTGCTGGACCTTGCTCACCTTTATTAAGATGTTTTCACCTAAACAAGGTAAACTGAATTAAATAAACCATTTCTTGCTCAGATAACTGAACATGAGGAAGACTAGGATGAGCCCTGGAAGTTTTGTACTGGCAGCAGAGAGCAGAGCTGGTGGGATGGAATGGGAAGGGCTGAGGGAGAGAAAGGTGAGATCAGTGGATGTTAACAGATGAGCTCTGGCTGCAGTGGCCGGCCGGCACTGAAGTGCAGGAGTAAAATATGACAAGAGTGGCCAATTAAAAGAGATGAAAAACTGCTGGAAAAAGAACCAGGCATTAATTTAAGAATTCTGACTGTGAAGTGAACATATTCCAAGCTAGGAATAAAACTGAGTTTGTGGATAATAAAAAACACTAAAAATCTTATTAAGCAGGAAGTCTAAAGAGGCTTTTCTCTCGTTTTGTACCTAAGAGTCTGAAAATCATTGCATTATTAGATTAGCTTACAGAAAGGTAGTCATTCAATATCCCAATCTTATCCATGGGGAAAAATTTTTTTGAAGAAGAAGATTTATAAAAACCACTGATGCCAAGTGGTATAATTGGAGAAGAAGGATGGTTTAGCCCAGAGTTGGGATAACAAATGCTAGCCCAGGGAACTCAGACATTGAGTTCAATAGGAATTATAAAGCTTAATAAAAGGCAGTACTAGTCAGTTCTGGATCATTTTTTTCCCAGCACTGAGACAAGAAGTAGTTGCAAGTGATGGCTGCAATTGTTCATACTTGCTCAACAGTTTCTCTCTGGCCCTAATCAGAGTCAGAGGAAATGTCCATTCCTAAAATGAGCTCTCACTCCTCAGTCCAAGTGGGTCTGAAAGGCTGCATGGAAGGAAACAAATCAAGAAGGCAGTTCACAACTGCAAGATTTAGTCACATTGCCCTAGTCAAGGACTTGGGGGACCCAGGCTTCTTTTCTGCTCTGCCACAGTGTTCTTGCACACCTTGGGGCATGCCATGAATTCTCTCCCCTTGCCTCTCAGCTGCACAACAGAGATAAAAGTTCCTCCCTAATTTAGGAGAGTGCTGTCAGCCAAACAAAAAACAAACAGACATAAACACACTGTAAAAAGTCAAATCTTAAAATTAAAAATTCAGGAAAGGACTTGTATTCAAAACAATGTTAAAGTATCAGCTAAATATACAGGTTTATTTAAACCACTGAGGAATAATTTAAAATTTAAGGGCACTTCAGTTTCAGCACATTTTCATTCACTGTCCTAAACAACATTTCAAATACAGCCAAAGCATATTCATTAATTCCTAAAGATGCATATAAAATTCTGAAACTGTCAAAAGAAAAATTAGCTGAAAGGAGTCCAGGAATTGAACTTCCAAACTAGTCTGGCATAGTTAGCACAGCAGAAACAGGACCATACTGGGAGGTAAAAAGAACTTTCAATTTAATACAATTTTGTACCAAAATTCTCTAAACTATAAATCAATTTATCAGCTCAGTGTAATGCAAGCTACAGGCTTTGTCAAGTATTAATTATTTCTAAGTATTTAATACTTAAAGCAAACCAAGCGTAGTTTCAACCACTGTGACTCATTCAGATGAAACAGAAAAAATTAGGTTTTCCAAACCATCACTATATTATAACCAACCTCCTTTTTTTCAGGTGCTTAAGGATAGTCTCTGCAACCAGATATCAACATGGAGAGACAGTAAAATATTTTTCTATCTGCTCTTCACCACTGAAATTTAATCTCATATGCTACATGCCAGCCATGAAGGTATTAGAGAGCTTCATGTCCATCACTTTTTAATCATATGCCTGTTGTACTTTCAACCTCTTCTAGTAAAAAATGAAACAAACATTGGATTTATCTTTGCAGCATTTTGGAGTTCTTTTTGGTTATTTCCAATACATCAGCAAACAGGTTGTTTTTCTGATAGTCTCAATGGTCTTAACAATTGTTTTATTCTTTCTAATGTTATGTTTTGGTTTTGGGTAGCAGCACCGTTTTCTAAAGCTCTTTGTAGCATCAGACATGAACAAAACAGGGAAAACCACGTGGACTTTAAAGAAGCCTTAACCAAACTGATAAACTGGCTTCAATCTGAAGGGTTCACAGATTTCTTTAACTGATTGTCACATTAAGCTCTACCCAATATCCCACACACACCCAGCACCTACTAGCAGAGACATTTTACACCGCATTTGCAGAACAGTGTTTTTAATTGCCTAGAAAAGTTGCAGATTCAAGCACAAGATGTCTGCACCAGTCTCAGTGGGGTGTTGTCTTGAAGACATTGGTACAAGCCATTGATAAAGTCAGAGGACAGCTCTGTGTCCCCATTTATGATGGCTGCATGGTTGGCACTGGCTGAACAAGCTCCTGTAGTGTCAAGATATGGAACAATTCTGTATTTCTAGACTTTAAATGTAAAACATCCTTTTTTATCTAGATAAAAAATAGGGAAAAAGAGGAAAATATGCAGTTTCCGTCTGGTAATAAGATCCTTTTTAACCAAAACTAATATATTCCTAGTTGAGAAGTGATTACAAATTTTTTCCTGCTTCCAGTTTTATTTCAAGTTCCTCTCATTTCTCATTACCCAATCTTTGAAAATATTACACTTATTGTCATTGATACTTCTCTAGATGTTTTCTGTCAATTTCTGGTGAATTACCAGCACAATGAACAATTTATCTGTACCATTTATATCACAGATCACAGAATGGTTTGGGTTGGAAGGAACCTCACAGATCATCCTGTTCCAACCATCCTTCCATGGGCAGGGACACTTTCCACTAGACCAGGGTGGTCAGAGACTCTTTATTATAATCACAATTATATTTTAAAGGAAGCATAGAATCCACACACTGAATAACTTCACAGTGCAGAAAATATTGAGGTTTTTTTCTGGTTGCTTTTTATACGCTGCAAAAGGTTGATTTGCCTCTGCTGTGTCATTCTCATCAATTTGCCTTCCAGGTTTTCCCATTTATTAACAAAAAGTCTGAACCACCTGAATGTGAATAGTCAGCATCCCTACAAGAGATTTTGTAGGGATCCACCAAGTCTCCATTCCTAAGCCACAGGATTTCACAGCATTTTTTCCAGAGATAATGAAAGTTACAAAATGAATTTTAATGTACTATCTTGGGATAAGTGGGAAACATTCTGGCACCCCCTAAAAATACATTTTTGAATCAAGAATGGTAATGTCCTGGTAACAGCAGCTCTAAAACATTTTCCCACATGAATCTCCAAAATTACTAATCTTCTTGCATCCGTATGTTTATGTCTCTGTAATGCCTATGTTGCATCCTTTGTTATGTTTATATTCCTTGCAGACATTGATGGAGACCATAACCATTTCAGTTATAAAGTAAGGAGTTATTTTCCATTAAGAGTTTTAAAGTTGAAAAAGTTGTTGAGAGCCTTGGATCCTCTTCTGGCCCCAGCAGCTCTTGTGTTTCTACATTTTGCTTCAAATGTGTAGCCTAACATTGAACCCTAAGCTGATCAGAGATGTAAATCAACATATGCTCTTGAAATTCTCTTAAATTCACACAAGTCTTCATTCAAAATTAGAGAAAAATATCCTAGCACTGATTGCAAGCAACTTCATGATGTGGTCAATTGGCCCAATAGTGCACCTCAAGGCATTCTATCAAGAGAACATTTCTTCCATAATTTTATTTCTGTGACTACCAAGGCTGCTCCAAGCTGTTCTGAGTGATTATCTAGCACTCATTTTCACTTTCTTAATAATAAGTTGACAGCATGCAGCAGACAAATTGATTCACACAGCCACAAAACTGATAAATTTTGAACTGGAAGGAGATCGCTGTTGCCACGCAAGTCAGCAGGAATCCTGAGCTTGCTTGCTTTCCTCCTCCTCTCTTTTCCACAAGCTCAGGCAGAAGGGAATTTGTCAAGAAAACTTTGGGAGGGATAAGAATAATTAGCAGGGGCAAAAAATCCTTTCACAGAACAAATCAAAGACCAACTGTGTATGTATATATGTATGCAGGGAAGAAAAAGGCTGCTAAAAGCTTTATCATCCTCTCTTAAGGACCACAGCTGTAGTGTGTCCATTCAGAAGGGAAAAGGACACTGGTCACAAGGTCTCAGCAGTGGCAGGAGTGGGAATAAAGAAGAACAGCTGTCAGGCACCTCCAAACCTCCCTCAGGTGCTTCCTCACACATAATCAGTCTCAGGAAAGGAAGTTCAGGAGTCCTGTCGGCTTCACATAAATGTGCTTTTCCCCATAGATTCCAGATCTAAGACAATGAAAGAAAAGTAAGGAGACCTCAACCAAATGTGCTCCTATGTAAAATAATAAAAATTAACATGGAGCCACGGTAGGTCCCACATCTGTATTTTGAGCCAGGCCATTAACTGGGGCCTATGAAAAGCTTCAATGTCCGTCAAGATTCAGAGCATTACAAGAAATCTTAATTTTTCTGACTCCTGAGGGACTTAACTTTGCCATTCAGTCTTACCTTTCATGGCCTAACCCTCTTTCAGTGGCATTTTCAGAAATCACAGAGCCACACACTGGCTCCAGCAGCAAACTGGCTTTGAGGCATCTCATAACCAACATGTTTTGATGATGAATCAAAGAAAAGCCAACTGAGAACCTCACTGCTGAGATTTATAGCCACACAAATCACAGCCTCACCTTGAAACTTTTTTGAATAAAGAAACTGAAATTTTCCTTTCAGCTGCAGAAGCTGATATGGTCACATTACAGCGGAGAATCCTGTGCCCCACTTTAAAGAATAAAGGCTGTTTTTAACCAAAATGCAGCTTTAGACTACTGTGGTAATTTTAAAGACTAAGAAAAACTACCAAAGGGAATTCCCAAGCAGTAATGCAATTTAGTAGGCTAATACTCACTTGTACTTTGAAAGAAAGCCATTAAATTATGTCAGCATAAAATATGCTGAAGAAATATTTGTAGTCTATGTACACAAACAACCGACACAAACATATTTAAGGAAAGCTGCTACCCGAAGAGACAGTGCTAGGGTTTAATTTCAAACAAAATCAATTTTAGGTACATGATGTGCCCATACAAAGGCAGAGGATTTGGTAGTGAGAACAGAAGGCAAGGTATTGGGAAGAAACTATTCAGTGTGAGGGTGCTGAGGCCCTGGCACAGGCTGCCCAGAGAAGATGTGGCTGCCTCTGGATCCCTGGAAGTGTTCAAGGCCAGCTGGACGGGGCTTGGAGCAACCTGGGATAGTGGAAAGTTGGGTGGGGGTGGTGGAACTGGATGATCTTTGTGATCCCTTCCAACCCAAATCATTCTGTGAATCTCTTTTTGTAGTCACTCCCAAGCAGCTGATGTTCCTAAGGAGTCCATCCATATCTTCTAATACTTCCCTCACCTCTCAGACTTGAAGTGATTAACTGCTTTCTAATTAAATCAGGATGTTATTTTTCCCCTCTGATTTAAATATTTGGTTAAATACTTCTAATTAAGACAGGATATTACTTATATGAGAAGTCTGATACTTCATTAATGATGCAAAGCAGAGAGTTGCATTTCTTTCCTATGGAACAGTCTCAGATCACACGATTTTCAGAATTACAACATAAAACCTGAAAGCCTGAGACTTATTCTCTCCCTTGTTGACCTTAATAAATGAAATCTAAGAATTTCAAAACTTGGTGTCTGGAGTGAGGGAGCCTTTCTTCTTCAGAATGCTTCCTCTACAGATTACTTTTTCAAGGAAAAGCTGAAACAATTTTTGAAACTGTGATGGGTAAATTTTCCAGAAATCAAGCTGCACTGAAAACAGCAATGAAAATTGACATTTGACGACAGTATTACATTATTTAGTGCTGACATTAAACAAGTAATATCTTTTGCTGCCACTGCAAAGCTTTATATTGCATCTATCAAGCACTTTTCAGGTTTCCAATGCAGTCAAAATGCTAATCAAGTTAAATAGTTACTGGGCACATCCTGATTTAACGTTTGCTTTGATTTCAGTACTGGCAAACTTCATATTTCTTTATTAGGCTTGAAGTTCAAAATACTGCGTGGTGTCAGAGAGGAGGACAACAGCCATAAGAACCCAGTTATCAGAAAAATGAAGTATCAGCAATCAAGGGTCTAAAAATCAGCCTATTTAGACCCAAGCTGAACAAAAAAAATAGATAAGAGGTAGAGAGATGAATGTTAAGCCACACAGACTTCCCATCTGCAAGATTAAATAAAGATAATGAAGTAAAGATTCTTTTTCCTTCTGCACTAAGTCAGCCTCTAATCTCTGAATACTAGAATACTATCATTATTATGCTGCATTAATATGCAATACAATACTTTTACACAATTTTGAGCACTCTGCAGGAGTCTGGTGGTAAATATTTCATTTTACAGAAGGCAACACTGTGAAAGGGATGGCCAAGTAGCACGCTCTGGACCACACAATAAGACAGAAGCATCTATTAAGGTAATTGCTTCATCCTCAGGATATTACAGGATGCTAATATTTCCAAATGAAAATTCAACTCAAATGTCTCAGCCCAAACACAGCATGAAAACACAGTGTACAGCCCTAGCTCCTGAACAAACATCACAAACAGCATTTTGCTTAGATACATGGAGAAACCACAAAGAGTCTGGAGTGGTCAGCAGTGCCTGCTTAGTGAATCATCCCATTTCTGCAGGCTCTCAAGCTACAACAGCAAGAGCCTGAACCACCTGTTTGCAGTATAATGAGCTATTAGCACCTTTGCTTCAGCAATTCACTGATAAGAAGTGTCCCAGCACAGCTCTTTGGGGCTGTAAATGAAATT